ATCTATGTACTTAGTAAGTTTATTTAATACCTAGGAGCGGAGAAGAAGATTTTCAAAGAATTTGTGTATTTTCACTATATAATCAATAGAGCCCCGCCCTAACACCAGAACCCCTAACCCTCGGGCCATAAAATTCACAATTTGGTAGAGGCACTCTTGCTCATCATAACTATGTACTTATGTAGTTTATATAATACCCAAGAGCAGAGAAGAAGATTTTCAAAGAAATAATGCATTTTCACTATATAATCAATAGAGCCCCGCCCTAACACCAGAACCCCTGACCCTGGGGCCATAAAATTCACAATTTTGGTAGAGGCACTCTTGCTCATCATAACTATTTACTTAGTTAGTTTATATAATACCCAGGAGCAGAGAAGAAGATTTTCAAAGAAATAATGCATTTTCACTATATAATCAATAGAGCCCCGCCCTAACACCAGAACCCCTGACCTCGGGGCCATAAAATTCACAATTTTGGTAGAGGAACTCTTGCTCATCATAACTATGCACTTAGTTAATTTATTTAATACCTAGGAGCAGAGAAGAAGATTTTCAAAGATTTCATGTATTTTTACTATATAATCAACAGAGCCCCGCCCTAACACCAGAACCCCTGACCCTGGGGCCATAAAATTCACAATTTTGGTAGAGGCACTCTTGCTCATCATAACTATGTACTTAGTTAGTTTATTTAATACCCAGGAGCAGAGAAGAAGATTTTCAAAGAAATAATGCATTTTCACTATATACTTATTTAGCCCCACCCTAGCACAAGAACCCCTGACCCCAGGGCCATGAATTTCACAATTTTGGTAGAGGACTCAGTGCTGATTACAATCATGCAAACAGTTTGACTGCTTGATGTCCAGGAGTAAAGAAAAAGATTTTTAAAGATTGCATTAATTTAAGTGGTTTTGGCCCCACCCCCCACGCCCCAGGGGGGCAGGGATCATGAAATTCACAATTTTTGTTCCCCTTCACCCATAGATGCTTTGTACCAAATTTGGTTGAAATTGGTTCAGTGGTTGCAGAGAAGAAGCTGAAAATGTTCAAAAGTTTACGACCGATTGACGACAAACGACGAACGACGTACGACGACGGACGAAAACAGATAGCAGTAGGTCACCTGAGTGACTCAGGTGACCTAAAAATCCTTATAAAGATGAATGAATTGAAAAGTATGATTCTTTGATAAATAAATGTAATTATTTTTTACCAACAATAAATTCTTAAAAATATACTCACTCTTTCATCATGAAGAGCAACATGGTGTTCTACTAACAATCGAATCCCTAGTCGAGATTTTAACATTCTGTCCAAAAATAGCCTTATCATTTCTTCATCCTAAAATACAATAAAATGAAAGTTAGTATTCTAAAATAATATTGATGGACTTTTCTTGAAGAATGAAGTTTGCAATTTATATTTACTTTAGAGATTGCATTATGAACATGGCAAGAAAAAAGTAATTTCATTCAGAATCTTCATTTTTTTATCAAAAAAGCAAAATTTTATAAACATGAAACCTTTTTTCAAAGCATATGAAAAAGGTCAAGTTTTAAGATACTTAAGATGATATGTTTCAAAATATGTGCTCTAGCATTCATTTTCACCACTTGAATCACTTCAAGTGAGGATGGTGTTTTTTTGCTTTCTTACAAAGCAGCCATAACAAATAATTCCCAAATATCTTTCTTTCAAAAATGACATATGTATACAGATTACCTGAATATGCCTTCTGCATTCTGAGAATCCCTCAGCAAGCATGGTAACAACATTGCTGTGGTCATCAAGTAAAGTCTTCAATGTGTTTGTATAGGCATGTTCTGATTTAAAGTCAACAATCTGAAATATACAGACATGTTAGCGTAAACATTTCATTCTAACTACAAAGATATTAACTTTCATATCCCCTCTTGTAACTCAAGACTTCCATTTGAAAAATTTATAACTCCCACTGTACCCTCATTAGTTTTTTTTTTCTATCATGGTTTCAGTGAATTTGAATAAACAAGTCCAAGGGGCATAACTCTATCAAAAATGGTGCAATTGTACCAAAAACAGATCTTGACCTAGATATTCACCTAGTTAATCTGTATACCAAATTTCATTTCAGTATGTGCATTAGTTGTGAAGAAAATGAACGAAAACTAAATGGAGAGACAGACCGACCGACAGACAGCAGCAAAGCAATATGCCCTCCCTTCTTCAAAGGGGGGCATAACAAATTATCAATAACATTTTATATATTACATGTATTTGTACAGTACACCACTGTCTTTGTCTGAAAAAAAAAAGATGGTTAAACAAAAAAATTACTTACTGGGGGATGTTCATGTAGTATGTAAAATGCTCTGATGTACATTTCATGCTGTAAAAGAAGAAAAAAAAATACAACAAAATAAATCTGCTAATACATAATGTACCACATACCGTATAGCGGGTTATTTCAGCGGGGTGCTAATTTTGGCTTATTTTGGCGTTTTGATGACAGCCCGCTAAAATATTCAATTCTCTTCCTAGTGTTCATCTGCAAAGAGCTGAAACCCCGTGTCCACTAAATTAAATTATGCTAAAATTATTGGCATACCTTTGAGTAGGCAAAATGCCAAATTTTACACCAACCAAGAAAACCCGCTATCGGTATATTAAAACAGCCATAGAATCCCTCAATTACGGAGAGCGTACTGGTAGTTTAAAAAGTAATTTAAATTCAACCATAAAAGAGAACAAAATACTTACAACTTTAAGTATGGTAGGATTACATCCAACAATGAAAGGTAGTCCTCGAAATCCACGGATTCTGTGAGCGATCCGTACAGGCAGTTCATTATGTAGATACTGAGCACTCCGCTATAGTAATGTAAAAACATGAATCTGACTATAGATCTTATCAGAGATTTCTAAACACACATGTTTATATCCTTAATAAAAACATTTGAGAATAAATATCAAAGTAATCAAAGCAATGAATTTTATATTTATAATTCAAGAAGAGTTGCCAACACCAATCCTGACAAGATTATCTGAATGAAAGTTTGTGGTCTGGCAACATCTCTAAAAGATTTTATTAGAAAAGTCAATCATTCCAGTAGCTCATTTGTCTTACAATATTTCACTGACAGATGGAAGCAAATCACATCCAATTATGTTTTAAAATCTTTATATTTCATTCTGTGTGCATATTTACATTTTGCATTTTTTAATAGTGACTACAGTACTGCTTGAATTGCATTGAAGAAGAATTTGATCATACCAGTAAATGACTATTATCTGGGCTCTTTCCAGCATACAGCAAAGTTGCTGGTGTAAGTCTCACAGATGGCTGCAAAATTAATTCATAAAAAAATTCTCAATTCTCAAAAAAGCCTCAATCCTAAACCAAACATAAATTTTAAAGGGTCCAAAATACAGCATTATTTTTCCATAAATGAAACTAACTTTTGTGTAAAGAAATCATTAATCTACAATTTCCCAAATTTTGTGTGCAAAAATGTGTATTTTATGTATCAGGAAAATGTCATAACAGGTGCCATTACGAAAAATGAAAATATAGCCATCCATCTCCAAATATAGTTTATTTTCGATTGCCAAACTCACAATTTATCAGTAGTACATTTATGTTTCTAATACACACCAGTATCGATAAAAAAAAATACAGGACTTGTCACTTCTAAAATATTAAAATGCATGAAATGAATACAAATCTCGTCAGTCTGATAAAATTTTTTCTTCTGATTGTATATTTTATAAAATTAAATGAAACTTAAAAATTAATTTTTGTGATTACAAGTTTTGTACTATTGATAAGTTGTGAGTTTGACATGTATTCTATTCGCAAGCATCGAAAATCAACCCGAGAATCCACTTCAGGTTGGAGGCAGTGAATTCCCAGTTTTCTCAATGGCACCATGCAGTTCTGAAGTTTCCTCATATCAAAATTGTGAAAAAAGTCTGGAAAACATTATTTCAGAATAATATGTATTTACAGTCAAACATCGTTATCCAAAACTCAGTGGGAACAAAAAACACCTCAAGAGTCCAAGGATTTTAGATATACCAAAAAATAAATCAAGAATAAGCAGTCGAGACTTCTAATTAAATTATTTTAACATATCCTCAACATATATAACTTCAGGGGATGCTCACTCCTCCATGGCACCTGATCCCTTCTCCGATGTTTTGGAGGTCCATGTTTGCTCTACTCCTATTTTCTATTGTTTAATGGACTTTTGATCTTGTAAAAAGACTGTTCGTTATCTCCATATGTTTCATCCATGACATTCGAGCTAGCAGAGTTTGAGATAATAATGTTCCGACTGTATAACAGGTATATATCCCTATCATTTTGAATCTCAAGAAACTAATGATTGCACGCTTACTTGGTTTGTAACTGGCTGTCTCTGAAAATCTAGGTCTAGTACATGCAAACATAATTTTAAATTTACCTTAGCTGCCACCTGCTCGATGGCACTTTGGTTATAGAAAGAAGCCACTGATGCTGAGGCTAAACGTTCTGAATAATCTTTTGTTCTGTAAAACTGTTTGAAATTGAAAAATGAACTTAAAAATCGAGAATATAACAGAGATCTTTCTATCGACTGTCTTTTACTCAAACAGCTGATCGACGCCATCTTGCACTTTCAATGCCCTGCCCAAATAAAGTTTTCTTAGCAGGTTAAAACATGTGTCAACAATGTAAAGTTTCATTAAAATAAGACATTCCGATCCTGCTTTCCATTCACGTCAGAGGTAGCGCCAGTATTTTCTTCATATTCATTCTCCTGTCTTTCTTCACACATGAAATCTGAAATGCCAATGGCCTTGACACTTTGGCGTCGACAGCTATTATTTTCGAACTTAACAGATTATAATTAATTTTTGACATCAAGATATTTTATATTAAAAACAATTTATTTTTAAATTCGATATTAAATTATTCAGTGAATTTAGTATTTCATTTTGCATGCCTGAAAGTTTCGTATTCAGGATAACGTGACCTAAGAGTCACATGACATTTCAAAACACGAGATGCAATCACAAGAAGTACTCAGGTGCATGAGGAAGTAAATAAAAGACAGCACACACTGATACAGCGTAATACATTATCACGCCCCATGATGTCCGTCCTATATCCGTTGCTTCTTAGCCTTCTTTCCATTCTAACTGTTGTTTATGGGGCTCCATCAGAAGATCTGATAGTTGCACTGCCAGGATTGAAGAACCCTCTTCCATGGAAACAATACTCAGGATACTTGAATGGAACAGAGAAGAAACACCTTCATTACTGGTAATATATACTTTTTTTAGCTCACCTTAGTCAGAACTTAGAAGTTGGTTACAGTCGATTCGATCATTGTCAAGTGTCAATATAGATAAGACTGTTTGGCTGTGTGTCTCACTGTCTGTATGTATGTAACGGGGGAGGAGAGAAAAGCAGCAGACCAGACCGGGATTCGAACTGGGCCCCCTGAATCTCCAGTTAGATGCTCTACCAACTGAGCTATTCTTGCCGGTATCCTCAGTCCAGTCAAAATTCCTACATTCTCCCCTCTTTTAAAAGTCTTCACCCCCGAAGACACAACACAAGTTCACCTTGTCAGGACTTAACATCAATTATATACATGTACTATTTATTACATGTATATTGCCTGAACAAGGTAGCTAGGCCATGGCACCATCTGTAGTATGAGTTAAAGTAGGAGTAAGTAAATATTCATTGAAAATTAAAAGGTAATACGCTTTATCACTGCACCACATTATAAAATGTAGAAGTTTGCATGGGCTTTACGGACAGTGGTCCCTGTCAAGCCATATGTTTTCTTCATGCATTTCTCCTTTCCTTACATTTGGTGGCCACTGTGGGGGCCTTGTTCAGGTTACAGTGTATGTAAATTAGTATAATTCCTGGCAGGGCCCTATAGAACTTGTGTCCTTGAGGTTGAAGACTGTTTAAGGAGGGGGGATGTAGAAGTTAGACTTTAAGGACTGTGGATATTGGCCTGGATAGCTCAGTGGTTAGAGCACCTGACTAACAATGCAGGGGTCCTACGTTCGATTCCCTGTCCTGCCATATGTTTTCATCTGCATGCATGCATCTCTCCTTTCCTACTACAAAAGTAACTCAAAATTATGCACCTCATTTCTTAGTCTTTTGTTCTAGGCCATTACAAACTTTTAACAGGTTGGAGACAATTCCAGATAGAGGAAGAAATTCATTTAAAGATGTTAAACAGAATTATTTCTGAATAATTGCAAGGTTATTTTCACAGTATTCTTGATATATAGCTGAATGGAGTCTACTAAGTAAATGTACACATCAAAAACTTCTAAGTTTACAGCTTTCATTTTTATGAGCACTTATATATGTAAGAGCACATATTGCAGGATAGAAACAAACAGCATGTATAAGAGGGTAACAATTACAAAGTGAGGATGCATTAAGTGTTGAACAATAATTCAGTGTCAATCTGCATAAAAGTTTTTTTTTAAGCAAAAAATAAACAAAAAAACATGCATGTATTTATTTCCTTTCTCTTAATTTTGCTGCTTTCAATTTTTTAAGACCAAAAAGAAGTGAGGTGCTACTTAATGCAAACTAATAGTTGGATATTGAAATTTAAGGATTCCAAACTATTTACTTTTTTCAACCAAAGTACCTAGGTGTTCAAAATAAGCAAAATTGGCCATGTGAAGACATTGATCTCAATCTTAAAAGCATAATAGACAAATCTGGTGCAATTATATGGCTCATTTTCAAATTTAAAACACTGGAACAATGAAAATGTAGAAGTTTTTTTTATAAACAACAATTTGTCTGTAAAAAATTTGACATTTTTCAACCTCTGTGTATTCTTGATCTAGCCTTGACAATTGTTCCATTCCATTCTATTATTGCATGTATTAATTTTCATATTTAATAAAGGTCCTTTTTTGTCAAATACATGTATTGACAAACTGGGATTTCCTCTGGGAAATCATCAGCATTAAAGTAAAATTTTGTATGAGTATAGAGAGGAATGTTGTACTACTGTACCTTTATCATGAATTTTCTTTCTTTATACCCCCTGCAAACGAAGTTTAGGGGGGGGGTATATTGGAATCACCATGTCCGTCTGTCCGTCCGTCCATCTGTCTGTCTGTCTGTCTGTCTGTAGACGAGATTTTGTCCGGACGATTTCTCAAAAACTGTTGGAAGGATTTGTCTGAAAATTTATACACATATTATTCACCATATGAAGGTGTGCACCTGCTATTTTCATATTGATTGGATCATTATTTTGAAATTTACAGGTGTTTTTTCATTTTTATTTTGTGGTCTTGTGCAGACCGTTTCTCACAAACTATTGCAAGGATTTATCTGAAAATTTGCACACTTATTATTCACCATATGAAGGTATGCACCTGGAATTTTCAACTTTATTTGTTAATTTTTCTGCATTTTACAGGTTTTACTTTTTATATAAATTGACTTGTTCATTTTTGGCTCATTTATAAGGTTTGAGAGATAGAATCTAGAATATCTGTACAAAAATGTGAACTAGTACAGCTTAAAACAACTCATAAAACTAAAAAAAAGAAACATCATCAAGTGTTTAAAACAGTTTTTACATTACATAGAAGATAATGTAAATTCATTTGTCTCTTGGGAATAATGACTGGACATGCATCCAGTTAAAGATAGATTAATGAGTTTGGTGTTGGAGGTTGTTAAGGCATATCTCTTATCAAGCCTGTGTGTGTTATCAAATCACCAGGGAATAAGGCACAAGAATTAAAGATCTCTCTTCTCTTATTCTCTTAATTGTAATTTATTGTCTGTCAAAGCACTTCATTACTGGATGACCAGCTTTTTATTTTCAAAATGAATTTGATATATCAAGATTAATTTGATTTTGTATAATGATTTTTTTTTTCAACAATTAGTTTGCAGTGTCATGACACATAATTGCAATATATTTCTTTAATGCAGAAATAAAAAAAATGTTACGATTGAATTACAATGTATAAGTATTGATTTTGCACTTTTGTTTCACTCATTAAGAAACATAATGAGCACTTATATTTTACTGTAAATTTTTATAAGTAAATAGTGAACACCTCTAGATCCATAAAGTATTTTTGAATTGGCACCTTCTCTGAAAAACCCAGCGGGGGGTATTTGTCCCTATTGGACAGTTCTAGTTTGATTCAGGTACTTGGAGTCTTCCAGTCCAACCCAAGCATCAGACCCTGTTGTGTTGTGGATGAATGGAGGACCAGGATGTAGTTCTGATCTAGGACTTCTGTCAGAGCACGGGCCGTTCAGGGTATTAAGAAAGCATTTGGGTGATATTATTAAGCATCACATACATGTTTAAATATATTTCTAAAAAAAACAAACTTTTTAAGAGAGTTTCAAGAGAGTTTGAGAATATATCTATAAAAGTGTTTACTGCCTGTGGACACTTTCTTAAAATGGTGTACTACTTTGTTCTAGGTTGCTCCAGATGGGGAAACATTGACATTGAATCCATACAGCTGGAATAAGGTAGGAGCTTTTGTGTGTATTTATACAATCATTATACAGGTTGACAAATCTACCTTATATGGATATTCTTATTAATACATGTACATGTATATTATTATTATAGCAACCAGGGTGCTTACCATGAACATGTTTATTAGCTTACTTTCTTCAACTTTTAATTGACAAAAACTTTTGCTTGAAGAATTAATTATCTTACAATTTAATAATTGTATTTGAATCTTTGTATTTCTTAGGAAAGCAATGAATGTTCCATAATCATTCATCAGAATAGACAATTGCAATTGTCTATTCTGATAAATGATTATGGAACATTCATTGCTTTCCTAAGAAATACAAAGATTCAAATACAATTATTAAATTGTAAGATAATTAATTCTTCAAGCAAAAGTTTTTGTCAATTAAAAGTTGAAGAAAGTAAGCTAATAGTTCAAATCATATAATTGCTTTAGAGGGAATAAATTTACCTCTTTTCCTTCTCAACCTGTATGAGTGATAGTAGAAACTTATATAACCATTGGAATTAATTTTTGTAGGTTGCCAACATGCTGTATTTAGAGGCACCAGCTGGAGTGGGCTTCTCCTACGCTGATGATAAAGAGTACAAAACAGATGATGACCAGGTAAAAATTGTCTCCCTTTGTGCAGAAAGACTGCAAACATTCAGAGATATTATATAATGTTGATGAATCAACCACATTAATCTATTCAAAACAAATTATTAAACTGATAAACCTTGTTAAATTATCTATAGATTAATAATTAATTAATTAATTCAAAGAAAAACTTGAGAGAGATATGGTGGTTCTTTGTACTCAGGTTTAAACAATAGTAGATGGGACTTTCAATTAATGGACTTCAACATATAGCCATGGTATTCAATATATTATAGCTGTATATACAGAAGTTCAATTGTTATCTATCTTTGGCACCAAAAATATGTAGTGAAAACTTTCTTGTCATTTTTCCAAGCAATGAGAGAAACATTAAAAGGATATTAGAAATTGAAGACTTGAAGAAGCAAACTATAAGATGACCCCAATTTCTTATGACTAAATTATAATTAATATGATTTGCAATTGTTTTACTTTACATGTACCTTTTTTTTAGGTCTCCCTTGATAATTATTTTGCTCTGAAAGATTTCTTCAGCAAATTTCCAGAATTGGCCAAAAATGATTTTTTCATAACCGGTGAAAGTTATGGTGGAATTTATGTACCAACCCTTTCCCAGCGAGTTATTAAGGACCCCGGTATAAACTTCAAGGGATTCGCTGTGGGTAACGGATTGTCGGACTATGGAATGAACACAGACTCCCTCATATATTTTGCCTATAATCATGGATTGATTGGACAAAAGTGAGTTTTTGATTTGGCAGCTTATTTTATTGTCATAAGCTCACCTTCATATGGCTTATAATGATATGACAGATGGTTGTTTAATCACACTGAGTAACTGTAAAATAAAATTTATGACTTCCTTTTACTCAGAAGTAGTTCTGTAGTATACTTATTATTTTGCATTTA